TTTTGGTTTCATTTTGGCAGTGTTGACATTTCGCCACTTTCTCGTGTTCGCTTCCACTCTCCTTCCGTTGTTGCAGTGATTTCTTTTGCAACTACTACTTTTACTACCCTTTTCTTGCATTTTTTCTGCGATTTCCTGTCAGTTTGGATTGAGCGCATTTTTTTCTCAATTTGCTGATTTGCAATCGAAGCCTTCTCTACATACACATATATAAGTGTATGTATGGCTTTGTGCACTTATAGGCAATAAAATCGCTGAGGTTGTTTTAACCTCTGGTTCATTGGCTTGTTTGTGCGTTGATTCGCCGTAATGGCCCACTACTCGGTTGGCTGACTGGCGATGCCATGTTGCAACATTTGCTTTGTGCAACGCTTTCGGTTTTCAATTGTTGCAAAAACGGAAAAAATGCATATATCATTACTTCAGCATACACATATACACACAAAAGCCCAAAAAGAACATTGAAATATAACGAAAATGAAAAGCCGAAAAATATAGGCCGTCTATCGATCGGGAAGTCGACAGTCGGCAGACAACTGACTGCCACACCAACGATGGTTCAGTCCGTGCAAGGCAAACAATGGTGGGGCCATGCTATTTGCATATGTGTATGTATATGTGTGTGTTTAAGCTTTATATGCCCACTGCAATAAATTGGGAATAAAGCAACTGGAATAATTTTGACAGCCCCCTCTGAATTTATCTTTATGTTTCCGCTCTCGTTCGTTATTGCCCTTATTTTCCCCGTGCGGTTTCTCTCTTTGGCCTTTCATATGGAAGCATGCCACAATAATAAATAAATTGCATTTGCTTTTCTTTCGCACAGCTTACTCACTACCGAACTTATATTTTCCCCACTTTTCTTATATTTTTCAATTTTTCAACTGTTTTTTTTCCTCTTCATTTTAATACGAATTCGACAGAAAATTGATTTGTTTTGTATTGTTCAAAAAAATCCTTGTGTAGTGGTGTTATGGCAATATTTTTCTGCCGCGATAAGTCTTACTTGTATATGCACGTGTGTTTGTGTGATTGACATAAAATATATGCCACTTAGGCATAAATACTATGGCGTCTACTGCTCAAACAGCGATGAAAAATGGTCGGCACATACGTCGATAAATACGCTCCGCATACGAGCACACATACAGATGTATGTATGCATTCGATTGTATGCGAAGTGAAGCTGTTGGACAAAAAATTCAATGAAATGTTGCCAAAAATATATTTCATATTGGTAATAAAATTTGAAGAGTTTATTTAAAGGGCTGTTGCCATGAATCACCTTATAGTTTGGGGTTATGACAGTTTATAACGTCGATGTCTGCACGTGAGAAATTGGCGTACGTGCCACATTTGATACATTAAATATGAAATTGGTTTCGATTATTTTAATATTATGGGAATTGTGTGAGAGAATTTGAAAAAAAATAATAGACTCTAAAACCAGACTTTAAAAATATTAAATAATTTATAGTAATCAATTTATTTGAGTTTTATATTTTGACATTTTCATTGTACAGTTTTTAATTTGGCTAATTTTTTATGATTTAATTTCTTCTGTTCCATTTTATTTAGTGCTATATCATTCTGCTTCAATGTTAATTTATTAATTTTTATTATATTTTATTTTATTTTATTTTATTTTATTTTATTTTATTTTATTTTATTTTATTTTATTTTATTTTATTTTATTTTATTTTATTTTATTTTATTTTATTTTATTTTATTCATTCATTTTATTTACTTATTTGATCAGTCGTAGGGCGATGAACGTTTTATTACTAATAAACTTAAGGCGGAATTTTATGTTTTTCTTTTGATGTTTTTGTATCGTTTTTGTGCCACGTCTTTGCAGTTCTTTCAAAAGGTAAAGCGAACAAAAATAGATTGTACATAAGGTCTGTCCTTACTCATATGCAAATAGCCGATTCCCAACTATATGCAACCCCTAGAAGTCGCTACAACCGTTGATGACGTCCAACACTGTACAACGCCGTCGTTCGCCACTTATGTTGCAATTATGCCTGCGGCACAAGTGTCAATTGCTTTCTACTACATAAAAATAAAGAAAAAATGGAAAAAGAATGAGAATGATGAAACAGTAATGAATACAAAAGTTTCTTGAGCAAAAGAAAAAAGCCAAAATAAGCGTTGACTTTTGATTGGCTACCGCTATGCCGCATGATTAGCTTGCCACGAAGCATATGAGTCGTGTTTAAAAGAACCTTTATGCCAGAAACACTAAGCGCACTTGAGCACTCATATGAGCAGCACACACACTTATACAGACAAGGCATGTCCTACTACCTTTTTTTTGCTACTCCACTCCAAATGGCACTAACTTTGGTACTTGAAAGGTTTATTAGCTTTATGAATGAAAACAAAAAAAAAAAAAAGAAAAAAAGGCAGAAAAACTTGAGAGCATTGAAATTGATAGCCAGCAACATAACATAAGAAATGTGAAAATAATGAAATGCGCAAAGAAGAGGAAGAACGACAGGAAAGAGGTACCAAATCAGAGTTGCTTGCAGCCGTAAAACAAACAGCGTCGTGAAATAAATGCAACTTGGGCTCTGACGATTTATGAGTAGTGCAATGATTACCTTTCAGCATTTTTATTCGTTTCCCTTCTTTGCTCCATTCTGTCTTAGCTTAAGTAAGGTAAAATCATTTTAATTAGTTTAATTAAAAGGCATAAAAGCAAAGTATAAACAAAAGCGGCAGTTTGTTGTATATACGTTTTAATTTGACTATCTACTAAATTTATTTGGCATAAAAACTCCTATTTCACTTCGGAAATCTACCTTTTTTGAATATTTTTTTGTTTTTTTTATATTTTTTTTTGTGATGAAAATCAAAATAAAATACTTGCGCCACTCAAAGGCCATACTGCTGCTTTATAACACTGCAACAATGCATTGCCAACTGCAGCTTAATATTTGCTACTACCCCTACTCATACTCCTACTACTATTTCGCCACTACTAAAGCACTTAAATTCAGTCACGACTAACGAAAGTCATAAAATGTTTGTTGTTAGCACATGTAGTGGCAGCGAAAGGGTAGTTAGTATGCAAACACAACACACACACCCACACACACACACGCAGAACCATGCAACAGTGCATGTGGTAGGAGTAGTTAAATGAAAAAGTTTGTAGGCTGACTTGCAACAATCACGGCAACACAACTTTAAGCACACAAAAATGCAAGTGTATGTGCATTGTATATATGTATATAAAATGTATGTGTGCACGTGCAACAATGAGAATGAGGAAAAAGTTTAAAACAAAGCCGCTCGTCGACGCACTCGACTGACGGACTGAGTGATGGGCGGACGGAAGTAAAAGCTTATGGGCGGGAAATGGGGCTGGTTCAAGACTACTTCCTAGCTAATTAAATTAAGCAGCCTTGTAAATAGTAATATGAAAAGAGTATGTTTGTATGCATATACGGGGAAGCAACATTGTTGTGCAATGCCATATCCCATATAGTAGGATTTTGTATAACTCAATAAAAAAAAAAGTAGTGAAAATAGTAGTGAAGCGGGCAAGTCGGGTGCAAGCAACGTGATAAAATTGTAGTTAAATTTTAAATACTTCATTGAATGCAACTAACGCATTGCACGAGTTTACGCGCCCGGCGTTGCCAACTATTTCAGCTTTTAAGATGAAGGTGACAAGACAGCGTTGCATGGTGGGGTATTCGCATGCGTGATGTACTTGAAGGTAAGGGACTTGAGTAAGGTATAAGGACAATATACATATATACAACTCGAAGGATATTACAAGCAAATATACAAAGGTACATATAAAACGTTAAGTAAATACAATGTATTATATTATATTATATTTCACATACTTGTATTTGAGGGGATTATCTAAGTGAGAATGGAGTTTATGGATAGTAAGAAATTTTTTTATTTCGAAGTGTACACATTTATGGAGGGATTATGCAAGGACGAAGGAATGATAATAAGATATATATACAATATATACTTATGTGTGTATTGCAAAACTTATAAATAAACAAGAGATGATTTTATATGTTGTACAGTGAGATGCTTGGGTATTTCGGTGTAAGTATATGTATAATGCGATGGTATTTTTGAAAGTTATAATTAAAAAAAAAACAATAAAATATAAAATAAAATAAAGTGAATAATGGCTATTTTATGTTGCAAAATGTTACCTTAACTAAGTAATTTTCTTAAAAAAAAACTCGGAAGAACCCTCAAAAACAACATTGCAAGCTCGCTTTTTACCAACATAAAAGTTAGCTTCAATTAATTCTATCATACAATATCTACAGAACACGATTTGATAATTAAAAACATATTTTTTGGAAAATATTTGTTCGAAACAGTTGAAAGGTATTTACCGTTTTTTCAAAATTAATTTGTCTTGCGAGTTCTTCCGTGTTTTTTAAAAGAATTAAATAGTCAAATGAGTGGTTTTTTAATCAAATGAAGCTCAATCAATGATTTTCAATTAACAAAATTGTAGCACAAAAATTACTTCGTTAATATTTTGTTTTTCCTTTTTTAAACTAAAAAATATATTTTCAGATTTAAAAATTTAAAAAAAAAAAAACAAAAAATTTATCCAAAATTATTGCCGCTTATTCACAACAAACATTTTTAATTTTAAAACATTTCTAAAATTTAAAAATCAGAAACGAAGGCAGATTTTTTAACTAAAAGTGGTTTTACATAATATTAAAGAAAATATTGGTGTTTTATTTAATTAAATATTTTTAACGCATTTCTTAAAACAATATTATTTTTATTTTTAGTTGACTATAACACAAATTCCAAAAAAAGAAGCTGTAAACTAAAAATAATGATATAAAAATTCTGAAATACTTTTTTAATTAATTTTCTTAATTTTTTGATTTTAAAAAATATAAAATTATTTTTGAATCGATTAATTTCTTACACGCTCATTTGGCTATTTTTGAGACTTGGTTCTAAATTATATAATTAGTTTTTTAACTTACATTTTTGCAATCCTCAAAATCCATGCAGTGATGCCAATCTTTAACAAACTGTAAAAAGAATAAATGGAAAATAATTATTATCGCTGTCATTTGTAAGAAGACGAAATGTAAAAAAAAATTGTTATCGCAAGGAAAAAATAGTTGGTTCAAAAAAAAAAAAACTTGATATTAATTAAAAAAAATGAATGATTTAAAATCAGATTTAAAAATTAGAGAATTAACTAAATAGTATTTTAGTTAAAAAATTTATGAACTAAAGAAAAAATAAATAAATTGAAAATTGTACAGATTATTATATTATAAAAAATATTATAAATAATATAATAAAATAGATTGCAAAATTAAAAAGAACATACAATTAGTAGATATGTATGTATGTTGAAACTAAAAAATTTGTATTGGAAAAAATATAAAATAAAAAGTTTTTTTAATTAAAAAGTATTGATACAAATAAAATATATACATCAACATTTGTAAAATTTTAGGTGTTATATCGACAGCGTATGTAGACTCTCAGTGGAATGAAATGGACTTGCAACTATATCGTATTTTATTGAAAAATTCCGTTTTATTTATTTTTAGTGAATATCATCTCGATATATTTAATTTATAATAAGAACTATGTTAAAATATTATTTCCTTAGTTGGATGCTTATTTAATAAATTTTGTGTTATATTTTTTATTTTACACTTATATTTTTTAAAAAACTAAATTTTATACTCTCAAATCACTAAAAATATACGAACAAAGAATTTCTTTTGTCTGACATTGAGATGAAGTCAGCTACAAACGAACAACTAATTTCACTCACCCACTCGGATGGAAACAGCAAAATGTCAGCATCAGTACGCCAACAATCATTGAAATACATCAACACTTCATCTTTGGTAATTCTAATTATATGCATTTGGCCCTCCTGCATTAGCGCTCCCATTAAGAGGTGCAACGGTAAAGATTAAGAAAAGAAACACACAAAAAAAAAAATAATAATAAAAATGTTACAATTTTAATGCGCCAATCTGTCAGCTTGTGCTTACAACTTAGTGGCCTTTAAAATTTTTATTAAGTGTATTTATGTTTGTTTGTATGTACGAATGCCTTGTGGGTTTTAACATTTTTATAGACTAATTTTCCATTTGACTTTTTTGCCATTCTACGCTGTTAAAGTGGAAGATTTACAACGCACTGCTGGCTGAATAATAGCAGACAATAGTGACGTTGAAGATCGGCAAAAGGGGTTAAGCTACTGATTTTTATTATGCTTTTTATGCATGTAAGTATGTATGCATGTATATATAAATGCATTGTGTTTTTGGTTTTCCAAATTTTCCTTCAACTTTAACGTGTATTTTATGTTTTTACTACTTTTAATTTGTTTTGCATTTTTTATTGCACTTGTTAGTGTTTTTATGCATGTACGTGTATGTATGTGTGTATGGTCTATCCTCAACTATGAACTAGGAGGTAGGTGCGGCAAACACATTATTGCGTTCAACAACTTAATTCGCTGTGGGATCTTCAGTCATAGTTCATATATGCATGTGTACATATGTATGTATATTCTTAGGCTCTCTGACACACGTACGTGTATTCTTACATACGTACATACACTTAGCTTGCTTGGTTAAGCTTGAGCGATTTTTGATCGACGACCAAAAGGGGCATACAAAGGTGCTGTTGAGGTGCTTTACAGCGGCCATATAAATATACTACACATTGTAAAGTAGTTAGACCTACAACACTATGTGCGTATATTTGCCACCAGAGCTACGCCTTCTGTGCACGCACACGCATTTCCTTTAGCAAATATATGTATGCCTGTATACACTCAAACACGCATGTCTTCTTTACAAATTGGTTTCTTTTCAACTATTTTTTTTCCTCTTGCTTGATTTTACTTTTTTTTTATAGTGGCAAGTTGGCTTTTTAGCCTCAGCTGCTGGTATTTCTTTATTCCGTCAGCTCTTTGTTTTGATTTATTATAGTTTTACAACAAACAAAGTCAATGTGATTAAAGAAACAAGAAAAAACGCAAAAAGAAGTAATTAAAAAAATGAGAAAAAAAACGAAAATAAGAAAATTAAAATAAACAGAAACAATACTAAAAAAAATCAAATTGATTTATGACGCGTCTTTTGTTTTAGCTTGAGTTTAATACATCAATTTAATAATGAGCGGATCTTCCAAGCACGCTGGAGATTAAATAAGCTGTAGCATTTTTTTTTGCGATTTATATAGTATGTACACACATGGACATTTACATAAAATCCGCGCTTTGATTCTAATTAAGCGACCTCAGCCAATTGCCGACGCCGCGCGCAGGAAACGTCCGACATTCTGCGCAGCTAAATTAATTTTAATTTAAAACTCCGCTTCATTCTCTTAGTTACATATTGTGAGCTTTTTATCGCCTTGCAAAGATAAAAAAATAATGAAAAATGTTTAGGAACATGCGCTGATTACCAGCAATAAATAATTAACTGTGTTGCGGAGATTCAGCTAATTATTTTGCAAAAATGAAATAGGCACTGAAGTGGCCATAAATCGGCGCGTTTAACCGTAAGATATAAATAGTTTGTCTTATGTATTATATTTGCTAGTTTCTATAATTTCAAATCATACTATTGCATCAGCGCCACCTATCGGTAAGCTTTTGATGAAGGTGAAAGCTTTTAAGAGTAAGCATTGCACGAAATATTAGTGAAAGCTAAAGAAGCATACAATTTTGTATCGATTTTTTCCTTAAACTAAATTATTTTTAACACAATTTTTAAATCATTATTTAATATGTGTGTACACCTATTAAGAAAAATTACCAATTATAGCCTCGGAAATATTTGTAATATTCTTATAAAGATCATATATTTATGTACATATAGTGTTGCTTTCAGGAAACTTTACTCTTTTATATTGGCTACATCTTCATTTATAAAAAGCAGAGCTGCTCCAGAAATTTGTGATATTTTTGCAACAATTACGGTATCTTTATGAGGAGCTTTCTATTGCATTATTTTCTATAATATCAACTGGAGCTATATGATATCGGAAAATGGACTAAATTTAGATATATATAAATATATACATTTGTCATATTAGTACTGAGGGTAGTTGTTTCTTTTTCCTGAATTTAGTTTGCAATAAAACTTTAAATGTAGGCTAGAGGGTTAAGGGAATATATCACTGTTTTCATCTTTTTATAGTTTCTAAATTTTGTATTTTTCTGACACAAATGGACAACAGGGACATCCATTGAGAAACTTTTGTTATGCGAATGCTTAAGGAATGAACTTTGTATATATAACCACTGTTGACAGCACCTGAGAACAATGAACAGTAACCAGAGCAGAGCACGAAAGCAAAATATAAAATCTGCATATAACTTCGACACACGAAATAAAATATTTTTTATTCGGAAGTTATTTGGCCAAAAAAAAGTAGTTTTTACTGAAAAAATATAATTGAAAATTTTTCGTTCTTAAATTATTATTATTAATATTATTTCGATTAGGATGCAGACACCTCATTTCACTCAACATCATCTCCTTCATCAAATTTTTCTTGTGATTTATGATTATTTAATGATAATTAGCTATTTTCTAGATTAATGGACATTTTTATAAATCGAATTGGAGCAGCTACTTAATTTTGAAAATTCAAATTCATGCGTATTTGAATGGGGTTTAAGACACATAAACGCATTTGCATAAGAATTGAAAATCAACAAATTACGCATTTCCTTGCCCTGGAGAACAACCCTTCTTCAAATTTACAGCACTACATAAAGAAATTATCCTACGATAGCAGCGCAGCGGGCACAGCTGCCAGTTCATATTTGCAGTAAAGAGAAAAGTTTTCATTAAGAGAAATGTCAATGCACACGGGAATTTTAAGCTGCACGCAAGCGAGCAAGATGTACTAGAATATGTACATATGTCAGTTTGTTTGTAGCTGATAACATTGAGATTTTCATGCTAACGTAACTACCAAGCGCCTTCGAGCTAAAGACATACACGCACACATACACACAGTTATTACCATTCATGCAACATCCGGTGGCAACATTGATTACCTTGCTCAATGAGCTGGCAGCGGCGCATCAGCTACGCCAAGCCAAAGCAATTTCACCTTTTGTATGCTTGCGTATGTGTATGTGTGTGTATGTGTGTATCTAGCAGTGAAATTTGCATAAATTCAATTACCTCTAAGCGAGGTAAACACTTACAGATCCACAAGGCCAATAGATAGATGTGTATGTATATTTATGACGTTTGCTGCCGCCACACATCTGCGCATATTTCGGGCGAAGTGTTGAAGAGTGTAGAGAAAAATTAAACAAAAAAAATTCAAATAAAATATTATTACAAAATGCGAGCAGACATGCTTATAAATAATTGCACTCACATACATACATACTTTCATACAAATTTATACAAATTTCATTATAAATACAACAACAAAAATACTGCTTCCCAGCGGTGAAAGGTAGGAAGTGCCCATGGGGATAAATATATTCAAAGAAAACAAGCAGAAACCAGTTGGCTACCACTCGCCCATGTGGCAGGTAAATCTCATTTATTTATGAAAAGTTAAAATCGAAACTGAAGCAAAAATAAATGCAAATAATAAAAGAGCAGTCAGAAACTACAGCAATGAAACTTAAAACATAAAAATAAATGCATATATATGCATGTATGTGTAGCCAACGCAGCACTGCGCATAATGTGCCCCTATGTGGCAAGTTGGACAAATCAAAGTGCTGCTGATGACTTTGCTGAACCAAAATCCAAAAAAAAAAAAAAAAAAAAAGTCTAAAGGAAAATGTAACACATAAAGCGCTACCACGTATGTGTATTTTTGTTGTTGTTTTATTTTTTTGCCATTGTTGTAATTCATTTGGTTGATGACCTACCGCAGCGAACAACGACAACAAAAACGACACGTTTGCTTGAGGCGGAGACATTTGAAGAAAGACAAATGAAAAGTACATACATGCAACAGAAGAAGAAGAGGAAGAAAAACGACGAGTAGAAGACATTGTAACAGAATA